AGACCCCTACAAACCCCTGAGACCCCTCTAAAACCCCTGAGACCCCTCCAAAACCCCTGAGACCTCTCCAAATCCCCTGAGACCCCTACAAACCCTTGCCCCCTAATCTACCGATAAAGAGGCTTGAGAGGATCCTTCCTAATCTCTTACTAATCCACCCGAGAAACGTAATTTTCTCGACTCAAGACCCGATCCCTTTCTCTCAAATCCGGCCTAACTACAGTTTCCGTACCAGGCTCAGAATTGGACGATTTATATGTCATTCGAAAGAGCTCGTCGAGCTGAGTCGAACGACACCAAAATTATTCAGCGGAAAAGATTCTGAGCCGAGTTACAGGCCCCCGAAAATCGAAAAACCATAGGGGGGACCAAGCTGATTTTTGGGGTGAAAAATTCGAATATGCAATTAATAGCTCATTTGAAAGAGCTCTTCAAGCCGAGTCGAATGACACCAAAATCGCCGTGATTGGTCAAGTTTGTTCAAAGTTATGACAGAAAAAACAAACAACGTAAACCTATGGGGCGTCGGCGAGGCGCTTGTGCAAAACTCCGCGCTTCGCGCGGAGTTTTGCGGCACGCGCCTCGCGGGGAGTCTACGGGCTCTGGGTCTGGGCTCGTAACTTAATCCTATTCCAATTATCGCTGTGATGGGCATGCCCAGCTTCCTCCGCAGCAGCAAGAACATCCACGGAGAACAAAGGTAAGGAGCTAAAACAAACGAGCATAACTTTGTCAAATCAAGTCTGATTTCATTGATTTTGGTGTCATTCGACTCAGCTCGATGAGCTCTTTCGAATGAGTTATAATTTGCATATTCGAATTTTTCACCCCCAGAAAACAGCTTGGTCCCCCCTATGGTTTTTTGAACTTTAGTGGTCTGTAACTCGGCTCAGAATTTTTTCCGCTGAAAAATTTTGGTGTCATTCGACTCAGCTCGACGAGCTCTTTCGAATGACATATAAATCATTCAATTCTGAGCCTGGTACGGAAACTGTAGTTTAGCCTCAAATCCTCTTAATCCCTCCAAATCCAGTGGGAGCGAACCAGCATCTTCAGTAGGTCGGACTGACGGGTTATCCATTACACCGCCTACAGCATAGCTTTAGGAATTAAATGGCTATATGCTTTACAAAATTTAGTAATCTTAATGTCAATGAAATGGTTATTTTAATAGTAGTAAACAGTCTTTTTGACTACTTGCCCTTCCCATTGTCGCGCTAGCCTTATAAAGCTTTGAATCTGTCCTTTTAGACTATGTGGAAAATATAGCTAAAAAGTGCAACTTTTTTTTTAAATTTTTTTTGAAAGAATGTCTAGATGTGTATAATCGTCATGCTGATTTTTATTTAAAAAATAATTTAAAAAATTAAATTAAAAAAATTTTTTTGGAGAAAATTGTTTCAGCTTCTTCCAAGTAGGCCAAAACCGAATTTTTTAAAATTAACGACAAAATTTTTTGGAAAGTTGCCCTCATGCTTGAATTCGATTCACACCTTCAAGCTGTAATTTGGCGGATCTTGAGACCGAATAAAATTCGAATATCCAGAAAATTTCATTTCGATCCGGGGATATTTGGGGAGATCTTCCAGATGCCCCCAACCTTACCTCTTTGTTACATATCACCTCCAAGATATCAGATCCGGATAAATTTGCTCCCAGAGAGTGTGAGGTGTTTAGACATGTTTGACCTTAAATTTTTTTTAAATATTTTTTATTACCTTGATTTTCTAATGACATAAGGATGTCATTAAAGCTCTTCAAAAATTTCACTTTTGATTATTTTTCAACTTTTAGTTATGCTTTTTTTTAACTTTATTAAGCCGTTTTTATTTCTGTACATAATTTTTTAATTTTTTCTTTCAATTAAGACTCTCCAAAAAAATTTCTAATAACAATAAATACCGCTATAAATAAAATAAAATTTTCCCTTAGCGTATGAATCTTCGCCCTTAATTAGAGGTGTGTCCTGAGACCCTGTACCCTGACCCGAAACCCGCCCTTAAGCCCAAGCATATTCTTCTCTGTGACCCGAACCCCTCCTTGAAACAATATGGAAACCCTGTATACAAAACACACCTGCCCCCGAGCATTCGGGATTCAACCCTATATTAAACCAAGAAGACCGTGTTGCGTAAATTTTTTCCGGAAAATTATTTTTTGAGATTTAATTTTTTAAATTTAATTTTCTGGTTAATAAAATGAAAAAAATTTTAAAAAATTTTCAATTTTAAAAAATGTTTAAAGTTGCATCAGTCTTTTGTTTAAATTCGCGGTTTTTACAGGGTGCGGCAAATTTAGCGCCGACTTTGTTTTGGCTATAACTTCTTTAATTTTAAACGAAAATTGATAATTCTTTTTTTCCTGGATTCCCAACACTTTAGGAAAATTGTTGATACCAAAATCGTTTTTAAATTTTATAATTAAGTTTGATTAATTTTCTATCAAATTTCGAGCAAAAATTTTTGGATAAAATATGGCCTGGATTCAAGGCTATTATTTTAATTTAAGAAGTTTATATATCATTCGAATCAGCTCTCCAATCTGATTCGAATGACGTCAAAATCAAGCGTCTATCACATAAATGGACCGAGATATGGCTCACTGAATGATAAATTAAACAAATTTTGGCAAATACGAATTTTTTGTGTGAAATTTTCAAAAATGAGATTATTAGCTATTTCGATACGCCTGAACGAGATAAGTCGATTGGTACGAAAATTATTCGGATTGGATGATTTTGAACAAAGTTATAATCAATTAAACTTTGACAAAAAAATCCATTTTTACCCGTTTTTATGTTCGGACTCGTTTTTCATTGAGACCCGCAAACAAAATGTTTATTATTTGTTACCAATAGATTTCCTAAAGTGTTAGGTGTAAAACAAAAAAAGAATTATCAATTTTCGATTAAAATTAAAAAAGTTATAGCCAAAACAAAGTCGGCGCTAAATTTGCCGCACCCTGTATTATTACATCAGTCAAATGCCAAAAAACTGATGTAACAATTTATTTAAGGTTAATTAGAGAAAAATAAAAAAAAATTTTCTCCGTCTCTAACACTTTTGCCCTTTAAATTAAAAATATATTTTTAAATAATTTTCCGGATGTTATATTATTAAGTGCAAAAAATAAATGTCTATTCCGTATTTTGTCTCTCTTATTTTTACACTCTATCATTTTATGCTTGTCTAAAAATTCCGGAAAATATTCTCTCAACTGTTCCGGAAAGTATATTAAATATGTATATTAATAGGTTAAACCGGACCGGATTAATCCGGAAGTTCTGATGTCTTTTCCGTTTTTATCTCTCTCATTTATATGTGCAGAGTCTATGTACATATTTCCGGAAAATATAATTCCGGAAAATATTTTTCTTCTCCATATTTTCCGGAAAGTATACTAGTTATATCTCTTATTTTTACACTCTATCATTTTATCCTTGTCTGAAAATTCCGGAAAATATTCTCTCAACTATTCCGGAAAGTATATCGAATACATTAATAGTCTCTATTCCGTTTTTTGTCTGTCTCATTTATATGTGCAGTCATACACTCTCTCATTTGTATTTCCGGAAAATATAATTCCGGAAAATATTTCTCTTCTCCATATTTTCCGGAAAGTATACTACATAAATAAAAGTTTATATTCCGTATATTGTCTCTCTCATTTTGTGTGCTACTCTATCGTTTTATGCTTGTCTTAAGATTCCGGAAAAAATGTTTTCCGGAAAGAATACTACATAAATAAAAGTTTATATTGCGATATTGTCTCTCTCATTTATGAACAGTTTTATCCACTCTATCGTTTTATGCTTGTCTCAGAATTACGGAAAGATGTTTTCCGGAAAGTATATTAAATAAATAATGGTATACATATTCTATTTTTTGTTTCTCACTCCCTTATTTTGTTCTTCCGGAAAATATTTAATTCCGGAAAATTAGTCTTTTTTTGTCTCTCATTTATATGTACGCTTTCTAGTTTTATGCTTGTCCGGAAATTCCGGAAGATATGTTTTCCGGAAAGTATAATAAATAAATAATTGTCTATTCCTCTCTCATGCTTCTCTCGTTTTATTATACTCTCTCGTTTTCTATTTCCGGAAATTATTTAATTCCGGAAAATATAGGCTTCATGATAGAAAGAAAAAGATTAGAGAGTGCAGAAAATTGAGAGAGCCTATAATCTTATAGATACTTTTGACGTTCAATTTTTAGCGCTCAACTGACCATTTTTAAAGTTTATCAATTTTTGGCGTAATGTTGTTAATTTTTTTTTAAATTTTTAAAATTTTTTTTTGTTTTCCGTGACGGAATCGATTTTCACCGATAATTTATCACATTTTTTATATCTACTAATTTTTGGTTTCAATTTATTTTTTATTTTTGCACATTTTTATAATTTTTGTTCCTCCCAAATATTAATTACTCTACATTTAATCATTCCATTTTTATGAAAAATTTTCTCCCATCTTTTCGGTTAAATTTGAAAAGTCCTTATTTTTTTCTTTAACTTTTTATCCGCAATAAAAAGTCCTCAACTTTTTTTCCTCGAGAAAATGTCCGCAACTTCTTGTCCGCAATTTTTTACAAAATTTTTTTGTCCGCAGCTGTTTGTCCGCACTTTTCTGTCCTCAACTTTTTGTCGGCAACAAAAAGTCCGCAGATATTTATCTGCAATAAAGGTCCTTAATTTTTTATCCGCAATTTTTACACAAATTTTTGTCCGCAAATCTTTATCAGCAAATTTTTTGTTCGCAACTTCAAGTCCGCAAATTTTTATCCGCAAAAAAATGTCTGCAAACTTTTTTTGAACAATAAAATGTCCGCAACTTTTGTCCGCAAAAAAGGCCTAACTTTTTATCCGCAACTTTTTTTTGTCCGCATCTTTTTTTGTCCGCAATTTTTATATATTTGTCCGCGTTAAATTTAATCATCAATTAATTTTTTTTAGATCAATTTTAAATTAAAAAAAATTCTTTATTTAAATAAATAATTTAAAAAATGTCTCTCGAAGAAAAATTCCAAGCCGCAGTTGATATTGTTCAAAAATTGCCTAAAGAAGGTTTATTTAAATTTTAATGGAAATTTTTTCAAATTTTCTAAAAAGGTCCTCTACAAACTTCAAACGATCAAAAACTTAAATTCTACTCGTTGTTCAAGCAAGCTACAATTGGAAATGTCAACACTGAGAGACCTGGAATTTTTAGTCTTGTTGAACGGAAGAAATGGTTTTTATTTTAATTTAAATGGGGATCTAAATTTTAGGGAACATTCGTTTTTTGGGCATTCCTTGGGTCTGTTACCTGGATATTTCTGATGTGACGTGTCAAATACCTAAGATTTATCAAGAGCTGGTCCTCGACACTGTAAAGCACATAGCTATTTAATTCCCAAGGCTGTGCAGTAGGCGGCGTGGTGTAATGGCTAACACATCAGTCCGGTCTACTGAAGATGCTGGTTCGCTCCCAGCTGCCGAATAACCTTTTGCACTAGCTAAAGGAGAGAGATAGCTATAGCCCAGTTGCTTTACTACACTTCGCAAAAGATCTTTTTTGTGTAAGGGGCGTCAATGAATAGACTGTCAGTGATTGGGCTGGGGAATAACCTAAAAATCATCGGACTGAGACAGTGAATTGGGATTTATGATCAATCTTACAACCCTTCACTTTTTTGACCCTCTTGTTGTCTCCTATCCATCCCTTTTTTGTTGAAGAAAACCCTTCAAATTGTCAGTCTGCTACACTTATTTGGCACGTCATCTCAGAAATGGTTTAGAGGGCTGACAATGAGACTTGGGGACCCTACACCTAGTGACTCGACTATTAGGACCCCAAAAGTCGTACCCAATATATGTTTTGTTGTTAAAAAGGTTCGATTTCCATTTTTTATTGTTTGCGGACAAAACCTTGTATTTGTGTTATTAAAATTTTTACTCTGAATTTTAAATTTTAAAGGGATGCTTGGAAAGCTGTTGAAGGAAAATCTAAGGAAGAAGCGCAACAGGCTTATGTTGAGACTTTATTGGAAATGTTTGATGATATTGGAGAGAAGGTTTTTTTTCTTTTCTTGGAGGAAATTCTTTCACCCAAAGTTCAACTCCTTCCAAAATTTCTTTAAAACAAAAAATGACCCTTGATCTGGATTCTTAATTTTATTCTTTAATATGGACTGGGAAGATAAAACCCCCCAAATTCTTCCATATGGAAAGACCACCATTTTCCCATCTAGCTAACCAACCAACTTTTTCTTGGTCAGGAATTTGGAGATAGGGTCGAGTCTTAGGTGTTAATTCATGGATTTCAGGAACTTCCTTAACTCCAGGAACCTTCATTTATTTTAGGAACCTTCCTACTTTTAGGGCTGAACTTTACACATCTTTCTGGGATTTTAAGCAGTTTCCTAAACTTTATTGAACCTTCCTGGAGTTGGGAAAGTTGTTCTATTTATATATCTCCAAAAAAATTTTGTCCGCAAATAATTTGCGGACATCCTCCTAAAATTAAAAAAAAAATTTCCTTCTCTTTTAGTTCAACGTCGGTGAATGGCTTGCTAAATTGGATCCTTCAATTAAATCAAATTTGGCTATTCTTGGCAAAAATTATTGAGAGGGGGAAATGAAAAATTGAGAGAAGAAAATTTGTGTGTTTGTAAGGTTTAAAAATACTTAAGTAATTTTGGTTAGTTGATGCCTTAAAAAACCCTTGCCTTTTTAAATTATTTTTTTTTGGACTTGAAAAATTAGGGGTCACTTTAGTACGCGGGTGCTGGCTTTAAAATACAAATGTTAACTTTTTTCCGCGAAGACCCGTTGGTTGATTTTGGTGTCATTCGTTGATTTTGGTGTCATTCGACTCAACTCGACGAGCTCTTTCGAATGATATAACATTTGTATTTTAAAGCCTGCACCCACGTACTAAAGTATGGCCAAAAAAATTAAAATTTTTATTTAAAAATGAGTAATTTATGGGTTAATTTATAGTGTTTTAATTTTAAAGAAATGATTTTTTGCCTTAAAAAATTTTTTCTTGTTGAATAAAATGATCATTTAAATTTTTTATTTGTTTATTTTTTTAAATTTTTTTACTGTTTTAAACAGTTAAAAAAATTTTTTTTTAATTTTTCACGACATTTTTAAATTCAATTTTTATTTTTGTTTTTACAGAAAATTTTAGCTTCTTTTTAATTTAATGAAATGTGTGTGTGATTGACTTGACAAAAACAGTAAACAAAAAATTGAACAAAAATGGGATAAATGGGACTTCAAGCTTGAAATATAAAGGATGATGGATTGGCAATAAATTGTGATTTTTTAAGGTTTTATTTTTTAATTTTTAGGGATTTGGAGGGTTCTTTTAAACCTCGGATTTACGGAAATGACGGTATTTTTCCGTTATACGACCGCAAACTGACATGAGTGCCATTCGAATGATCGGCTATAACTTTCTGTTGCTTGATCCAATACATATGAATTTTATATCATTCTAGAGCCTCTGAGAAGCTGTATCCTTTTTTCTAATAGGATAGATCAGGTCAACCTCTCCTTAAAAAGTTATACCCGACAAGTTATAATTGAACGTTGTTTGGTGTTTTTCAAATTTATCGGTTATAACTCTTCAAGGAATGATCAGACTTGATGTATCCTATCACAAAAAAGATACAGCTTTTCAGAGGCTTTAGAATGGTATAAAATTCACAAGTATTGGATCAAGCAACAAAAAGTTACAGACGATCAAAGTTGACTGGCACTCACTGTAAAAAATTTGCGGACATTTGGTGTGGGTTCAGCCATTTCTTGGGTTTTTGGGACAAAAAATATTTTTTGTAATTAAACTGAGGTTTTAAAATTGTCCAAAATTTATTTAATTTATTTAATCGTTCAATAAAAAAAGTTTACCCTTAAAGGGTTCGAACCCTCGACCTCTCAACTCAAGACTAACCCACTTAACCAAAAAATTATTTTAATTGGTTTTTCTTCGTCCTACTTGCTGTGCCTTCATTCCGTTTTGAAATCTAAAAACTCGGCCATTAAAAAATATTTTACTCTTAAAGAGTTCGAACCCTCGACCTCTCAACACAAAACTAACCCACTTAACCAAAAAAAAGTTTTTTAACTCTTAATTTTTTTTAATTTTTCATTTTTGAATTTGATCTTTAGAGAAATTTAAAATTTTCTATAGACTATCACAAGCCCCCTCAGTCTTGATTTAATCGATTTTTTATCATAATTTTTCAATTGCCACTATTCACCTCCCTCCCCTCTAAATAAATTTTTTTATTTAAATTTTTTTCTTTCTTTAAATTGTTAAAAAAATTTTTTTTAATTTTTAATTTGTCTATATTTTATTTTTTATTTTTAGATGCTGTGTCATCTACCCCCTAAAAATTTTGTGGCGGCCTCTTTGAATTTGCCTGTTGTGGTCTTTTTGTTGATGGCAATGCTGGAAGGCGTTGTTGCTTCTCCTCTTACTAGTAGTGCTGCTGGTGGGTTTTAAGAGTTTTTGGAGGAAATTTCCTTATGATCGAACCCTCTTTTATGTTTACACCTTTGAGACTAAAAATATTACAGAAGTGTTCTGGTTATGGGTAACCCATTCCTCATTCTTGCCTTATACCCCCTTGAGATCGTATTTTAGAAAGCTTGGGGAGTCGCGTGTCGGGCTAAAACGAGGAACGGACAAAACGCGGAACGACAGAACACGGAATTTCCCTGGACCGTGTTTTGGTCGTTCCGCCTTTTGGCCATTCCGTGTTTTGGTAAGACCGGCCCTTTTGTCTGTTCTGCGTTTTGGTATGGTCCGTATTTTGGTCGTTCCGTGTTTTGGAATTCCTCGTTTTACCCCTCACCCGGGGAGTCGAAACAAAATAGTTAGTAGTAGGATAAGTAAAGTTTTAAGGAAGTTAATGCCAATCCCTGGCCTACACATTTGTTGGGAATTGCTTAAGTAGCTCTCCGCAAAAGAATCAAATCTTAAAAAATTCAGGTTTGTCTTCATCCCATCCTGCTGTCTCACCAACCTTTGGTGGTTCGAATGTTCATCGTATCCAACACGACAACAATTCACTTCATTTCAATCCAACTTCTAAATTTCCATCCTTGACAACAACACATAACAACAAAAAAATGTTGGTAGCCAATCACCAAAAAAGTGATTTTGTGTTCAAAGCAAGTGGAAACCAAGATGGAGGTGAAATCGAAAAGGAAGATGAAGGCAAAAAGCAAATGTCAAAAGAAGAAGAGGTGGGGGTACTTTTATTTATTTTGATTGAAAGAGGGATATGGAGAGAGAAATTTTAATCCTCTATTTAAAACAAACTCCCTATTAAAAAGGACTCCCTGTTAAAGGATTCCCTGTAGAGGACTCCCTGTCAACAAACAAAAAATCTCAAGAGAATCTTGATGTTGTTTCTATCGATTTTCGTTAAAGCCTTGGTTAAGCAAAAGGTGTTGGGGATTAAATGTGGTGAAGTCTGATAAAAATCACAGATTACACCTTTTTATTTACATTATCTCCTAATATTAACTAACACGAGCTCTAAAAATTGAAGATGAAGGCGAAACCGGTTGCTTGGTTTTGTATGTAGTAATATGACCTATTTTTAGTTTGCGAATGAATGGGGTGTTGGGAGGGGGGGGGGTGTTGGGGATTAATTGTGGTAAATAGGGTTGTAGGTTTTACAAAATTCTTCGGATATCCGAAACCGAACTGAAGAACCGAACCGAACAATCCTCGGTTCTTCGGAACCGAACCGAAAAATTCTCTGTTCTTCGGGCCGGTTCGGTCCAGGACCGACAACCCTAGTGGTGAGTACGTGTGTGTGGGGGCACTAAAGTAAATAAGTTTTTGCTTTTAATATCATAACAAAATTTTAGGAATTGACAAATAAAATTTTGGTTAACGTAGAGAAACGAGAAAATTTTATCCACTTCTATTCAATTTTTGAATCAAAGGCTAATTTTGTATATGTATTGCTTCCATATGTAAAATCAGTTGTAAAATTATTATTTAAATCCAAAATGATTAACAAAAAGGAGAATGAAAATTCTGAAGATCAAATTAAATTTGTGACAAATTTAGGAGGTCAATTAGTTTTTGCTTGTTGTTTAGCCGAAAGTTTGGTTAAGGATAAAAACAGTTTGATAGATATAGTGGATAAAGATCTACGTCGTAAAACGAAAGCTGTGTTACATACTGATAATTATCAAGTTTTGTTTGATAAGTTGAAAGATGATGTAGAGGTTAAGAAAATTAAGGAGACGTTGGAGGAAGGATTTAAAGGTATAATTTTATGGGGCCCGTATTTATATTTAAATCACTAAAGCGACGTTGGCCGCAAACTGACCTATTTGAATTCGGCTGTCAGACACTGTTTGGCAAGACTGATCCACGGCTAGGGGGTTGTTCTTTGCCTTATTTCAATATAAATCCACCCTATAATAATTTGCGAGTCTCCAACAGGGCTGGACGCAATTGCTGACTGCGGATTGCGTAGAATTGCGTGTTTTTTGACTTGCGGATTTCGGCTGCAGATTTTAAAATTAAAATTGCAGCTGCGGAAAATTTTTTTCAGTTGCGTCCAGCCCTGAGTTCAAATAGGTCTCCAATATTTAGCTAATAAGGCTGTGTTGGCAATAGGGCTAAAAATCCACGTTTTTCCATAAGGCTATGTTGGTAAAACATGGAGTTATAATTTGTTTGTTTTGTTTGGAAATTTTTGAAATTAAAAAAAAATTTTTTTTAATTAAGTTGTCGCGAATTTAAGACGTACTAAAAGTGCTCCATCATCTCATATGAAGTATAAGCATTTTGATGATCTTACAGGAATGTATTGAGAAGGATATTATTGAAGTTGAAGGTGTTTTGTAAAAAAAATGAGAAGAAGTGGGGAAGAAAGAAAGTGGGAATGGGGGGTATTTTAAAAAGAGATTGATAGTATCATGTATATCTAAGATTTTTTGAACTTTTCTCATTGTGATTTGTAAACAAGAAACTTTTTTGATGCTATGTTAGCATATTATTGTTATCTAAACTTGTATAAAGCATTTTCTGTGATATTTGAAAGCAAATATATAGGTAATTGATAAGAGGAGTATGGGTGGTGACTTCGATGTAGATTAAGGTGAGGTTGATGTATTGGGGGATTACCTACCGTCAGCAGTATAACTATAATTGTTAACAGTGAAGGTTTGGATGGTGATTTAGATACAGGTTAAAGGAGAGGGTTGGGATGTTTGTTGCTGTAAACTAATTGTAAATATAGTAACCATCTTTTATCAAAGGCTCTCATCTCTGGTCCGGTTTAGCCTGTCAAGTTTTGGGTGATCACTTTTTTTCTTTGGGGGGATGGGGGGGGGGGTGTTTGTGTTGGATTGGCTGACCACCATGGCCTGGTGCAACCCGTCCTTTTAGTGCATGTATAGAAAAATTTTTGGGGAATATAGAAAAATAGAGGGTCGGCTTTATTTATTTTTTCCTTTAATCATATTATAAAATACAAAATATTAAAGTGCATTTATTCGATTTTAAATTATGAAATTAAGCCTTTGTCGGCAATTATGAAACTTTGTATTTTTTTAATATTTAAAAGTGCATGTTATGTAATATTTACTTAATCACTAAAGTGCATGTCTGGTCTTTTTAAAGAGGGTTATAATTTTGTTTTTCATCATTCCTTACTCATTTCATTGAATAATTCAATTAATAATTCATTGAATATTTTTACACACAAATTTATTATGCTCTATTGTACGTGCACTTTTTTGGGGTTGTTTTGGTTACGAAAAGGTGAGGGGATGTCTAGAGGGGTGAGGGGATGTCTAGAGGGGCGAGGGGATGCCTAGAGGGTTGAGGGGATGCCTTTTTCAGTTTTCCGGATTTCTAGGAGAAAATACAGCCTCTGTTTTACGGATGCCTATACGATACCTCCACTTATCCAGATACACCCCAAGGTACCGCAGATGTCGCGGAAAGGGTTCCGCGAATAGTAAAAATTAAGCCTAGTAAAAACTCACACAATTTTTCAAGCAAAAACAAATTGAAATTTTATTTAAAGCAATTAAAATTTTCCAACAAAATATATTTAATCCAAAGCAGTAAAAATTCAGTTTTTAGCAAAAAAGTTGAAAGCAAAAATTTAAGTAAAGTCCAGAGCAAAATTGTAGAATATTTTTAGAATGAAGAGCAAAAGCTAAATCAGCAGCAAAAGAATATTTTAAAAATGAAGAGCAAAGTAAAAACAGCAAAAAATCCGAATAGGAAAAGCAGACTGAATGAATGCAAAAAGTGCTTGAATGGAGAACAAAAATAAGCATATACATTCAGTTGAATAAAAAGGGGAGGGATAAACATTTTAAATAAACAACCATTGGTCTAGGAAAGGAATTTTGTTTTTAAGTTTTTAAATGCAGGTGTTGAAAAAAAGGGAAAAATTTAGAAATAAATTAAAAATAAATTCTTTAATCTTTAAAGTCGTGAAACGACATTCCCCAGCAACGGAAACATTCCATTTCTTTTGTTCCAGTAGTATTGTGTTGGTGTCAGTGGGTTAAATTGGTAGGGCATCTGAGCAAATTGGAAATTTTGTTGTGGCATGTTGGGGTAGGGTGGAGAGAAGCGTTGGATGTTATGTGGACATGGCACATGAAGAGACATTAGAGGTCGTGGACGGATCCCACCAGCCAAGGGTTGAGTTGAAGAACGGGCACGTATATGTGAATTAAAAAATGTGGGGTTTTTCGTGGCAAAAACATTTTTACCTTTATTAGCTAAATTTTCCTCCGCAAAAGAGTGTTTCTTCCATAATTTGTTGTTACAAAACGTTGATTTAGTAGTTGTTGTTGTGTTAAGGGGTGGATGGTTTGTTGTTGTTGTATTAATAATTGTTGGTGGGAGTGTGTAGTTAGCCGTGGGAGTTAATTTTGGTTGTTTCATTTTTGTTTTAGCTTGCACTTTCACTTTCTTTTTGTAGTTAGAGGAGGTTGGGGTGGCGGATTTCTTAGTATTGTAAGCGACACTGGCCCGAGGGTAAAGCAAATTTTTATGTATTTTTTCGTAATTGTGGTTGAAGTAAGAGTGTGATCTGTAAATTGTGTTGCATATGGGGGTTGGAGGATTTATTTGCAAGATATGGGCTGAGAATTCAGCTGCCCTTTTGGTTTCTACGATGGGATTTTTTGGGGGAGGCGAGAAATTTCTGTTTGCTTGGCAAGGGGTTATTTGTGCATTTATCGGTAGTATCGTGGGCTGAGGTGTGATTGAGTTACAGTAATGCCCGATAGTATTTGTTTGCTGATTAATTTCATAAGTTTTGGGTTGCTGGTGGGTATTGTTTTCATAGCAATTTCGGGATGCATAATTTGACGTGTGGATTTGGCTATTGCAAATATTTGTTTTTTGACTGAATTTTGCGAGGATTTTATAGCAAAGGGGACGAGGGTGCATTTTATTGCAATTTTTACATTGGGAAGGGTTAGGGCAATTTTTAAAATTATGATTGGGCTGCAGGCATCGGGTGCAGCGGTTTAATTCATTAAGTATAGCAATCCGGGAATTGTAATCCGGAAATTTTTTGCAGTAGGTGGTAATGTGGCTGGTGTCGTTGCAGAATAAGCAGGGGTGTTTAAAGCCAGAGTTTCTATAATTTTGTTGAACAGCCACTGCAGAAATGTTTAACGGGGGGACTGGTTGTAAATTTCTTGTTGGCAGTGGCCTGTTAAAAGGTAAATAATTTCGTTTACTTACGGGGGTGTCCAATCGAAGAGGAGGCAATTGCTGAACATTTCGACTTTGTGGAGTCGGGCTTGATGGGTGAATAGCATTAATTTCTTCTCTTCTTTTTCTAATATTTTTTAAGCATTCTTTTAAATCTTCTGTTGTCCAATTCCCGACGTGTTGTTCTTTTGTTTTGTAGACTTCTTCTAATACAAAATCAGGTAGTTTACATTCAATATCCATTAGAATTGAAGGATTATTAAAATCAGAATTATGTTGTCTAAATTGGATTAATATGGATTCTAGGTTGTCGGTAAGTGTAGCAAAATCTTCGTTGAAGTTTTCTCCCTTTCGAACGGTTGGGAGATTTCTAATTGCTTGGTAGAGGCTGCGAATAATTTCTTCTTTGTTGTCGAATTTATTTTTAAGAAGCTGAACGGCTTGGCCGTAAGAGTCGTCAGTAAGGGGTAGGGATTCGATTGTTGCGAGAGAAGGGCCAGCTAAGCAAGATTTTAAATACGAGAGTTTTACGGCGTCGGAAAGGGAAGAGATATTTCCTATAGCAGCGGAAAATTGATTCCAAAAGGAAAGAAAGTCGGCAGATTTGCCACTAAAAGAGGGAAGGTTCATTTTGGGTATATGAGCATGCGAGGAGGATTGAGTGGAAGAGGAGGGTAGCGCTCCTTCTAGTAAATGCTGCGAAGAGCGCAATTTTCGTTTGTATTGCTTCAATTTGTTGAGGGTTTCGATATAGGGGTATTGCGCATAAAATTGGTCATAAAATGAATTATCGGACAAACGTTCAGGTCCTGTCATGTTACTTCTGAGCGACATCCAATTACGGTGTGCTTGGGAAAGTTCATCAGCTATTTCGCATAAATTTTGGAACTCAAGATTTAGGTCTGCTAGGGAAGCTTGAATGGCAGCATAAAATTGGGCGTTTGATTGAGTGGGTCCTTTCAGGGGGACATTGAATGTTTTGGGAGCTGCAAGGAGTGTGTCTGCGTCCTCAAGCAAAGTAATGATTTCGGTGCGGTACCCAGAGGACATTTTATTTTCCCCGCTTCTTTTTAAATTATTTTTTTAGGAATTGGTGCGAGAGGTAAGTTAAACCTCACCGGCTGAGCTGTCGCGGAAAGGGTTCCGCGAATAGTAAAAATTAAGCCTAGTAAAAACTCACACAATTTTTCAAGCAAAAACAAATTGAAATTTTATTTAAAGCAATTAAAATTTTCCAACAAAATATATTTAATCCAAAGCAGTAAAAATTCAGTTTTTAGCAAAAAAGTTGAAAGCAAAAATTTAAGTAAAGTCCAGAGCAAAATTGTAGAATATTTTTAGAATGAAGAGCAAAAGCTAAATCAGCAGCAAAAGAATATTTTAAAAATGAAGAGCAAAGTAAAAACAGCAAAAAATCCGAATAGGAAAAGCAGACTGAATGAATGCAAAAAGTGCTTGAATGGAGAACAAAAATAAGCATATACATTCAGTTGAATAAAAAGGGGAGGGATAAACATTTTAAATAAACAACCATTGGTCTAGGAAAGGAATTTTGTTTTTAAGTTTTTAAATGCAGGTGTTGAAAAAAAGGGAAAAATTTAGAAATAAATTAAAAATAAATTCTTTAATCTTTAAAGTCGTGAAACGACAGCAGAGCTATAACTTTGCTCAGAATTGTCGAATCCGAAACGCCCTGGGATGATTCGATGCGCCTCAATGAGCTAGGTCAAACCATACGGCCCCCGGATTCGACATTTTTAAAAGAACCTTAACCTGCTCCCCCACTTACAACTCAGTTTTAAGACTGTCTGGGCGATCCTCTTTTGCATCCACCTCTGTTTTGAATGCACCTCCTACACCTCGTCTTCACGTACTTTTTTCTTCCCTTTCGAAAGGGTGTAAATACGATCGAGATAAAAATGTGGGTACCCCTTTAGGCAACTCATTCCTACCCATTAGCTAAAGCTGTCCAAGACTTTTGTTGGTTTTGGGGTGAAGTCTTGGTTTTCAACTTGTACGTACACCCCAGAAAGGTGAACGTACAATCGAGGGTAAAAAATTTTTTTTTTAAATCAAAGATATGATATTTCCAATTATTTTTTATTTAATTTCTGAAATATTTCTTTATTCTTCATGTTCAACTTCTTTAAATATTCCCCATAATTTTTCAATTAAAAATAATTTAAAAAATAATTCTGAGGGAGAAGGGGGGATAAATAAAAATAAAAAAATTATTTTTAATAATAAAAAAAATAATTTAAAAACCAATAAAAATATTAAAAATTTAAATATGGCAGCAAAAATGGGGGTGATTGAAGATGAAAAAATTATTTTAGGGGAAGGAGGAAAGGAAAAAAAATTTTTGGGAGGAAAGAAAAATTTGTTTGAAAATTTGTTAATTAAAAATATGCATGAAAGAATGAATAATGATGAGATTTTGAATAAAAATTTGGGGGAAGGGCAAAGTTTAAGCTTGACTAAATTTGAAATTGAGAATGCTAAAATGGTGGCTAAACTAATTTTTGAAGCAGAAGCCTTTGAGAAGGAAGATTTAATTTTGTTGGGAGGGGAATTAGCTTTTGCTCTGTTTGTTGGTGAACGTTTAAAGAGCGGGGAAAATGTAATTAAAAATTTTGAAAAAATTATTGAGGTATTTTGAAGTTTAAATTATAGTCAACCTCATTATAAGAGACCCCTTTAAGCTGAAAAATTTGTCTCTTTTAATGAGTTATATCTTAAATAGAGGATATCGCTTAGACACCTCCCTCCACTCAGTGAGGAACCAAGTTTAAAAATTGTCTCTTAAATAGAGGTGTATCTTATAATGAGGTTTGGTTGTATATTGTGGACCCCTCATTATAAGAAACCCCAATATAAGATACACTTCTATTTAAGGGACGACCCTTTAAAATTAGTTGATTAATGAGGTTGGGGGATACCCCGTACCCTCGATTTAAGATACACCTCAGTATAAGTTACTATTTTTAGCCTTAAGGGGTGTCTTCTAACGAGGTCTGAATATACTTTTTTTAAGTTTGCCAAAGCTAAGCCAATAGTTTTAACCCCAAAATCTGGTTTGTGGTATAAGATGCGTGAAGCTTGTTGGAAAATTAGTCCAATATTATTGGCTTTAAATAAAAATGAAGAAGAGTTAATTTTGGAAGAAAATGAGGATAATAAAGGGGAGAAAAGTTTAACAGAAAATTTGGAATTAGAAAAAAAATTTTTGGACAAGAGAATTGAAAATACAATAAAATTGTTTGATGAGGAAAAATATGGGAAAGTTTTGGGAAAAAATCAAAGTGAAGCAAGTGAAAAAATCAAAGAAAAATTAAATGAAGGAAATGAATGTATGTCAGGCAGTGTTTTCCAAATTTAATTTCAGTCTAAATTCAAAGAGGGACCACCCCAGAAAGTTAAAACAGAAGCCCAAATGACCCAGAATGTCAACTCCAGATATCTAGCTGATAAAGGGGACTCAAGATCAGAAATACGTCGACCTGCTTTATATTTCCCCCTTAATCGACTTTATTCCAAACAAATCCGCCCTAATTCATAAATATGCCCTTAATACCAACAAATCTTTCTTTATCCCCAAATAGTTGGGCTGATAAAGGGGACTCAGATCAGTAACTTAGGTCTCTTAATCATCCCAACAAATCCATCCTAATCCTTCCTAATCCATCTATATCCCCTTAATACCCACAAATCCTTTATCCCCCAAATACTTGGATTTGACCATGTGGTTAATCAAACCCTTTCCGTCTTGACTTGATCTCATTACAAGAAGATTTATTTTTATAAATTGTGGCCGGCGAAATTGAATTTGACCAGAAAAATGGAATTTGGACTGAAATTGATTTTTGGTTGCGTCATAGGGCTTAAATCAAAATTTATTTTAATTAAGATGCTTGGAGAATTAAAAATGTTTTGAATTTCGTTGTGTCTAAAATTCCTGATGCGCTTTTAACTAAACCGAAAATTGTGACAGAAATTCCTCAGCATATGAAATATTATGATGAGACTGGTTTATATTGAGAAAAACTATATTTTTATGTTCTATCCTTTATCTTTTATTAAAATTAACAATTCTTCGTTTAAAGTACAGTCAGACCTTGATATAAGACCCCCTTGAGCTGAGATTGAGGTTAGGTCACCCCAGCACCTAACCAACTTTTAAGAAGCGTCTCTTAAATAGAGGTGTTCCCAGTATTGGAGGTATCTAACAGCGAAGTGATCTAATAATGGGAGTACCTTATAGTGTAGTGTATCTTAAATGGAAGGTATCCGTCTACTCAGTGGCCAAACAAATTTTAAAAAGCGTCCCTTAAAGGTGTTCTAGTATTGGGGGTGTCTTATAAAGAGGTTTTAATGTATTTTAATTTCTTTTTCCTCTCACTTTTCTAAATTATTTGTCTCTTCTATTTAAATAAAAATAAGTAATTAAAACAATATTAAGTAGCCAACAATCTATTAATATGGCAAAAAATAATGAAGAAATAAGTATTAAAGCAGGCCATATGTTAGGTGTACAATTTGTTGGGTTTATTGGATATTCTGTTAAGAAAAAAATTTGTTAATTAGGAAAAAAGTTTTGAGAGTTGGCACATCATCTTAAAATAGGCAAAGGCTGTTATTTGCCTTTCATTGCGGGAGTATGGCTTAGTTGGTTAGCGCTTTCACTTTAAGGCGAAATAGGGGGGAGGTTCGAACCCTTCCATTTTTTTCCCGCCCGAAAGTCGGGGAATTTGAGAGATTTTTTGAAAATTCCTCCCCCCCCCCCCCCCCCCCAAGTGACCTCACACACTCTCACTACCTATTGGTTGATTATCATCATCATTACTTCTTGTTTGGTCTTCCCCATACAATTGAATGGCCAAATTTAAATTCTAAAAATTTTTTTTGAATTTTTGATTAGAAATATTTATCAAAACTTTAGATTCTGAAGTTGAATACGATGCAAATTCATTAAAAAATATAGGCTCTTCAATTTCTTTATCTGATCCTCCTCCACTAACTACAATATTCTCCAAAAACTCGTTTAAACTTAATTCGACTTGTTTACAAAAATGCTCTCCAGCTACAATTAATTCAATTATACAAAAAATAAATAGTAAACAAAGGGCAAGATTCCAAAGTACCTTAAAATTGTGAGGGAATTTTTATAAAAAGTTCTAATTGTAGGGCCTCATATGATCCCTTTGGGGTTAAAAAATGGTCTCTTATACTGAAGTGTGCTTTAAATAGAGGGTATAGTTTAGGCAGCTACCCTTAACCAACAACCAGCCAAACTTTTAAAGAACGTCTCTTAGATGGAGGTGTGTTATAATAGGGTGTGATTGTATATAGTTGGACCTCTTTGTAATAGACTCCCATTATAAGATACACCTTTATTTAAGAGACGTTTTTTAAAATTTGGTTAGTCACAAGATGAGGCAGCTGCCAGGATTAGAGAGTTACCTCCTCTAGTTAAGATACCTCATTATAAGGTCGATTTTTCAGGCACAAGGGGGTATCCTATAGTGAGCTTTTTTTGTATAGGCCTGGGAATCTTTCGAGGGTCTTTGATTGGTTTTATATTGGAATCGATCCTCACTATGAGATACACCCATTTAAACAGTCTTTTACCAGAGAGGGGCTTCTATTGGAACATTTATTGAGATTATCTTAATATTGGTGAGGGGCTTCTATTAGAATATTTGTTAGACTTACCCCAATATAAAGAAACGGTTTTAAATATTTTGCTTCTTTCTGTTTAATCCCATAAAATAGTGATAAAATACTTGTCAATTGAATAATTAAAAATAAAAATTCAGGTATTAAATCTGTAAAAGAAGCTGTAGAAAAACTTGTTGTTTTGAATAGAAGAAAAATTTCAACAATTAAGGGAGCTATTGAAAGCCATCCAATGATTTTTGTACATTTCTGTTTGGTTGGAAAAATGAGGTGGGGTAAATGAATTATTAAATTATTATGGACTTAGTGTCCAGCAGGGGTCAGTCGGATTTTTGACTTCCGAAAATTTAGGTTGATTTCTAAGTTCCGACTTTTGGGTCATTTCCGATTTCCGACATTTCCGATTTCCGACACTGTCATTTCCGACCAACCCCTGGTGTATAGTCGAACCTCGATATAAAGCACTAAATATATGAGACACCCCCCAATGCAAAGGACACATTTAAGAGACGTTTCTTAAAATTTGATTAGCTACTAGATGTGGTGGAAGGGAGGACTCCATACCCTTCACGTTAAGATACCTCCAATATCCTTCTATTTAGTATACATCTCATTATAAGACAGACACGATTTTTTAGCATTAAGGGGGAGAGTCTCTTATATCGAGGTCCGACTGATTTTTAAAAGTTTTATTTTTTTTAATACAAAAATTTTTCCTTTACAATTAGTGGTATTGGCGCGCACCAAATAAAAAAATTTATTCTTATTTTTCCAGTATCTTCTTTTATTATTTTATCATTTCCATTTATTTTTTCCTTAAAAATATTCCAAAAATAAGTTAAGCATCTTTTATTTTTATTATTTTCTTCTTCTTCTTCAAAATCAATTGATAAAGGGGTTTTTTCATTTAGAGGGGTTCTATTTTGGCATTTTTGATCTGAAATTTTTTTTTAATTTTTAATACGTGTTGGATATTAATCCTTGGGGTTTGTGGGTCTATCCCCTCCGAGAAGTGAGGTAAAAGAGGGAAGGGTATTTCCTGAGGTAAATGAAGTTTCCTGAACCTTCTAGGATCTAGCCTAAGTGAACTATTCAACCTAAGGCTTTACGGCCACAACCTCACTCACAAGAAATCCTCCCCCTCCCTCCCCCTCCCTCTCCAAAATAAAAGTCGGATGTAACCAGAAAACTAATTTAGATTTTAGGCCAGGGAGAAGGCCTGAGGCCAGGAGACAAATTTAGGGCGGATAAAGGAGGATTTGTGGGTATTAAGGAGGATATCCACGGATTTGGGCGGATTAAGACGGATTTGTTAGGCTGGGTCTTGCCCTTCTGGGTTTTGACCTTCTGGGGGACCCAGATTTTAGGCTAGGGAGAAGGCCTGGGGCCAGGAGATTCCAAGGGATCAGGAAGACCAGGAGAAGTCCAAAAAAAATTTTTTTAACTTCTAAGCGTCTCTGGTTCGTGCCCAAAATTTTTTTTGAATTTTCTAATAGGCTTACCGTCTTCCATAATAACAATATCAGAAAATGTAACTGAGGGGCGGCCTAAAGGTATTGTTGTTGTAGTTGTTTTTCTGGGCATTTTGTTACATTGATGAGTATTTTGAAGCATTTTTTATGTTTTAAGGAGGAAGCGCAGCTTTATCTAAATATTTTTATATTATGTTGAAAGCGCTCTGTTTTCTTTTTTAAATTTAATTTTAAGATAGTAAGAGAATCGTTTAAAAACAAAAAATTTTTTAAGTTTGTTTTTTATTGCATTTTTTATTTTATTATAAGGGCACAAAAAATTTTATTTTTGTCAGTCAATTTGATTGACAATTTTATTTATTTTGTATTTCTTTTTTAATTTTAAATTAAGTATTTATATTTTCTATACCTATCAATTTTTAAAATTATTAAGGGGGCTGAGTAGAAAAATTTTTTTGAAAAAATTTTCAAAAAAGGGGAGGTTGCTGAATTCTCTAGGATTCTCCTGGATCTCTCTCTCTCAGGTCCATGATGTTTTTTAAATTAATTAAAAATTAAATAGTACGTCAGCTGTCTCTCTAAAGGGAATTGACTGTGTTTTTTTTAGTATTTAATTAATTAAAAAAATTTTTTTTTGAATTTTTTTTTAATTTTTTGGGTTATATTCAGTGTATTAAGTGAATATACATAAGTACATTTTTTTAAATAAAAAAATTTTTTATATAAAATATTTTTCCAATAATTATTTTTATTTTTTTATTTATTTTTATCAAGTCAACTAGAAATTAAAAAAGAAAAAAATTTTTTTCTTTCCGTTTTATAAATTAGTAGACAATTTTTGATTTAACCAAAACATTGGTTCTAGCTATCAAGGGTCGGTCGGAACAGTCCGAGTTGTCGGAAATCGGAAGGGCCGGAAGTCGGAAATCGGAACTGGCTCAAAGTCGGAACTCGTAAATCGGAAATTAAAAATTTTTTCGGAAATCGGAAGGAAAAAACGCCGGAAATTGGAATTCCGACCGACCCTTACTAGCAACTCCCTTATGTGCTGAAAAAATTCTATTTAAAAATGAGGTGTTTCTAAAATTTGGGGGTATCGTTTCATTAGTTGTTCCCCACTTTCCCCCTTCCTCCCTCTCAGGAATTTTTTTTAATTTTAAACTTTATTTAAAAAGCTTCCTTGTTACTAACAATAAATTTTAATTCTTGTCTTTTTTTACTCTTTATTTTTAATTAACTTTTAAAACATATGTATACCTATATAACAAACATATGTAAGTGTTTGTTTAGTTTAATTTTTAAATAATGAGTGACTTGATTCTTGATTTTTTGACGTTTTATATTTTTATTTTTATTAAAAAAGATTTTTTCTAATTATTTCATATCAAACATGGCCTGGGGTTTCGAAAAAATTTTTCTTGTTGGGTTTCACGATTGAAATATATCCGTATTATATGTCCGTAGTTAGGGCTGAAGTTGTGCCCTTTTTCTGGTTTTTCTTCTTCAACTTCTAATCTCGATAATACGACTCGTTCTCGAGGCCTACATTTTTTCATTATTTCTCTATTTCATAACAAGATTGGATCAAGTTAAGAAAAAAATCTCGGGGCTTGTTTTCCAAATTTTCTTAGTCGGATTATGGGTCGAAAAATATTTGTGGTTAAGATACCTAATAACCTTTGCCCTCCTATGCTTCTTTATTATTTTATTTACTATCGACTCTCGATCGCTCTCGAGGGTCAACGATTCGAAGATCTCCCAGGGGCCTATTTCTCCCCTCCACATTTCTGCGTTCTGTGGATATTTCTGCAGAATCTGTGGGCCCCATTTTCTGTAGAATCTGTGGAAGTGCAGAAATAGTAGAAATTCTTTGGTCTGTGCACAGAATTCTATCCGCAGAATCTGTGGAGGGGAGAAATGGACCCTAGGTCGGAGTTTCGAAATCGAAAAATATTTCCGGATCTCGGGTTTAAGTTAGGTCTTTTTCCGACTTTCTGATAACCCTATCTCTTCTTTTTTACACACGTTTCCATTATTTTTTATTTATTTTTAACTCTCGATTTACGTCGTTAACTCTCAAATGCCAACATAACGACAAAACTAAATTTAAAAATAGAAAGAAAATAACCACAAAAAATTCTCTAAATTGTCTTTTTTCTCTTTTTATTTTCTCTTTTTATTTTTCAATTTTAAAATGCTTTTCCCTCAAACATATGTTTTTAGCTAGGGAGAAAATAAAAATGGATATTGGGGGGATAAAATGTCTATTTTATTTTTTTTTATTTTTTTTTGGGGAGGGAAAGAAGCATTTTTATATTAAAAATGTATATAGTTATGTACTTTTGTTTCTCTTTTCTCTGAAAAAAATTTTTTTTCTCGGTCTTTTGCAGATGCCCCCCCCCCTTCCCCCCTCCTGGGTACATCCCAAAACGGCGCGCGGCCATAACGGCGCAAAGCCACAACCTCCTGGAATTTGTCTGGCCCTTAGCAATTTTGACACCAATCTCCTTAGATCGGTGAGAGGACTCGTTTGATACCAAATTTGATAAGATTAGGAAATCTTGAAGTAAGTTATAGCTTTGCGCCTTTATGGCCGCGCGCCGTTTTGGGCGTGTCCTTCCCCTTCCAATACCCTTTTATGTGGGCATAAAAAGGAGACTTTTTTATTTTTGCGTGAATTAAAAAAAATAAAAAGTTTGTGCCAGACTATTTTTATTGACTTGTTTTTTAATTCGTTTAATTGAAAAAAAAATTTTTTTGAAATTTTTTTAGAATTTTTAACGCTTTATTTTCCATTTTCAAGCTATTTTTCAAGTTATTTTTAGGGCTCTAATTTTATTTTTATTTGATCCCATTGTATTCCTCCTTGGTTTAGTTGGTAGTCGTTTAGGTTACATTACCTAAAGGGTGTGGGTTCGAACCCCTCTCTTGGAAATTTATTTTTATTTTTGCAAAAATTAAATATTTTGGCCTAATTTTTAATTCTTTTGATAGGAAAAATTTTTGAAAATTTTTTGAAATTTTTTTTTCAATTTTTTAATCTTTAATTCTCTCGAATCCTTTCAAAATAACTAACCTTCTCGTAGGTTCAGAACTTACATTTCTTCCTGAATTTTTTCTCGATTTATCTAACACTCGATTTAAGGTATAGATTAGGGATATTACGGGATACCGAAACCCCTCGAAACACTTCAAAGCACCCCGACTTTTTTTCGATTCGAACCCTGTAGAGATTAAGATTTGCAAAGCCTGGACCTGTTCCTGGACTCTGTAGTTTGATTTATTGACCTGGGCCGGATCCTGGGCCTGTAGTCCAGGAAAACTCCTAGTCCAGGAACAACCCAGGAAGGTCAAAAAATGCCTGGACCTGACTCTGGGTACAGGAAAACCCAAGCCTCGGTCCCATGCCAGGTCCATCTCGATCTCTAGACCTTGATCGAAGAAAATTTTGAAAATCCGATCTGACACCTGAAATCCGACCTTTTCTCTTTTAATCACTCTGAATGACCCAAACCCTAACGACCACAGACCCCTGACTTTTTTTCCAACCCGTGACATTTCTGGTTGACATATACGCGAGATATGAATGTATGTTAGCTAGCCCCTATATTTTTTTATTTTTAGTTTTTTTTTGTTTTTTTCCTGACAGCTGAGCCCTCTTTTTTCTTCTTTTGTTCTTTTCTTTTTTTTCTTTTCATAATAAATAATTTTGGACTAAAAATATATACATAAAAATGAATGAAAAATGTTTTTAGGTAAAAAACCTGAAAAAGAACCTAAAAATAAAATTTTTAAATGGCTTTTGGGGGGTATATAAATTATTTATTTTATTATTTGTGCCTTTTTTAGGAACTTTAAAAAATATATAAATGTCAAATTATATTTTTTAGGAAGCTTTAAAAATTTTCTTTTATTTTTTACCCCTCAATTTTCATTTTTTTTAAATTACCGATTTTTTTAAATTTTTTACTTTTCTAATCTATTGGTTAAAATGTGCGTCCAAAAAGCTCGTTTGTCACTGTCGTCAATCTTAAGGCTATATTTTGGGCCATAACTTTTTTGTTACTTAACCTATTTAAATAATTTTTATATCAATCGAAAGCTCTGAATACGAGGATTATTTTATCTGACAGGATTAATTTGATCAGATCATCCTACTTTGAGTTAGAGCCGATCAAGTGCGCGCAATCGTGACTTTTGATCATTATTAGGCTCTAACTTTGTGTAGGATGGGCTGGTCAGAATAGTCCTGTTAGATCAAATAATCCTCACATTTAGAGCTTTCGATTGCTATAAAAATTATTTCAATCGGTTGAGAATCAAAAAAGTTATGGCGCAAGCTATGACCTCAGGACTTAAACGCAAGACAAGGCCTAGACTTACTGAACATCCCCTACTCTTTTAAATTTTTCTAAAACTTTTAGACATTTTTTCTCATTTTTTTAAATGTTTGGCTTGTTTCTCTCATATATCCTCCTCTTTTTTCCCTCCATTTTCACGTTCCCTTTTTAAAATTCCCAAGAGTTTAATCCTCTTAAAATCCTCTCCCCCCTCTCCCCCTCATTTATTTATTTTTACTTTTTCTTTGAATGTTTATGTACTTTTGTTTTTGAGGTTTCTATACAGTCGAAATTTTCGTTTTTACGTAAAAGAACGTTTACTCATTTTTAAAAAATTTCAAAAATTAAAAAAATTAAAAAAATTTCAATAAATTTCAATTAAAAATTCACGATTGCGCGCACTTAACCGGCTCTAACTTTTTGTAGAATGATCTGATCAAATCATTCCTTTTAACTAAAATAATCCTCACATTCATAGCTTTCTATCGGTATAATAATTATTTAAATAAGTTAAGAATCGGAAGAGTTATGGCCACAAATATGGCCTCAAAGAAGAAGACATTCCCAGCCCTAAAAATTTTTTTTAATTTCCTGAAATTTTTTTTTGATTTCTAAAAATTTTTTGTATCATAAACTCCCCAGATTTTAATTTAAAAAATTTTTTCTTAGTTTTCAGAATTATCTTTTTATCATTAAACTTCTACCATCCAACCACTCTTCTAACCAAAAAAATGTTAAAAAACGGCCCAACAAAATTTCCAATAGAATCGGGAGAATCTCTAAATCAACGGGAAAATGGAATTTTATTAAATAATAAACAACAACAAAATGAACAACAACAAAATTTACCTGTTTGGGTCTATGTAATTTTTAGAAAAAATCCGAGTAGCGGACATGATAAAGTTTCTGTGAAGGATAGGTGAGGGTTTAATTTAATTTATTTAATTAAATTTTAATTAAAATATAATAAGTTCCTTGGTGCCCGATTGGTTAGTGTTCTGGTTTAGTGTATTTTTGGGTCGCGAGTTCGAATCCGCTAAGGGTAAAATTGAGTTTTTTCGATTATTTTTGCCTTTAAAAATTTTTTAAAATTTTTTCGAGGGTTTAAAAAATTTTTAAAAATTTTTTTGAGGGCTTAAAAATTTTTTTAAATTTTTCTAAGGTCTAAAATTTTTTTAATGATTTTTCCCCCAAGTTTTATTCTTAATATTTTTATTAAAATTCAAATAAAATTTTTTTTAATTTTTAAGCCTTGACGGCCCTATATTTTGGACTAGAAGAGTTTTATATGTTTTTTGTTGTTCTTGTCATTTTGATAGACATGAGGTTTTTTCAAAAAAATTTTTTAAAGAAAATTAATTTTTAAAGCAACATTTAATTAAATTGCTCGATCAAAATCGTTCCCTAGTTGAACGTGTTTGCTTAGTAGACAATCCAATTGATTATTCTTTCTTGCCAGACTCGTTATTTGGATTTTTGGCTAATCATTTGACGAAATTGGAGGTGTTTTTATAAGTTTTTGAAATATTTTTTAATGTTTTGATTGACTATAACTTTTCTTGCCATTATCAGATCAGAACAAATCTTATATCATTCAAAAGCTCTCGATAAGCGTTATCTTTTTCCCAACTGGATGGATCTAATCTGATCACTCTTTAAAAAGTTACGACTTGATAAGTGCAGGAAATCGTTGTTTTCCACCTTTATTGGGTTATAACTTTTTAATAAGTGATCAGACTTTATACATCCAGTTGGAAAAAAGATAGCGCTTTTCGAGTGCTTTCGAATGATATAAGATTTATTCAGATTGGACCAGGGTCAAAAAAGTTATAGTCGATTAAAACTTGCTGATCGATCAAAGCTCAGTTGTCCCTTTCCGGTTTTTAGGAATGTTTTTTTAATTCTGAACAAGTTAGTCACTGGTCAAATGGATAGTGTTTTTGACTTGTCTCAAATTAGCCGCGGGTTCGAATCCTACGCATGCAAACAGTTTTTATTTTTGTTTTTCTTCCCCTAATTTTTCAAAAAGATCATTTTTTAGTTTAAAAAAATTTTTTTAGAGTCTAAAAAATTTTTATAGCCTTAAAAAATTCTTTTTTAAGTTTGTTTACCTTCGAGAACTTGACTTGGAAAAAATTAATCGAGCAACAGTTGAACGTTTGGCTAATCATCGCCGCCTTAAAAAATTAATTGTTCATGGATGCCGCAATTATGAGGCTTTACAAGACTTTCACAGTTTGCCGCAATTGCTAGTAATTAAAGGAGATATACAAGGACTTAAGGTGGATTTCTAGAACAAAATTAATGTTGTCTCGAGGCTATGTTTTGGCCCATAACTTTTTTGATACTTAACAGATTTAAATAATTTTTATACCAATCGAAAGCTCTTGGTCTGTGGATTATTTTATCCAACAGGACTGATCTGATCAGATCATTCTATTAAAAGTTATAGCCAAATAAATGTCAAAAATCACGATTTCAAGCACTTATTCGGCTCTAACTTTTTGTAGAATGATCTGATCAAATCAATCCTGTTAGATAAAATAATCCACACATTTAGAGCTTTCGATTGATATATAAATTATTTAAATCGGTCAAGAATCAAAAAAGTTATGACCCAAAATATGGCCTCAAGACTAACTTGAGACTGAAAATGCCACTTACTCATACTTCCCAACTCCTAATTTTAAGGCAATGATCGGTTGCGAAGAGCCCTATTCTTTAACAGAAAGCGAAAGTACAACTGAATCTGAAGATCTCCCAACAGCTAGAATTATTAATGGAATTGAAATTCGTACGAGTGAGAAGAAATTGGTCGCTACAATTGGAAATGGAATTTAATTAATTTTTTGCTTTTTTTTTATTTTTTTATATTTGAACTTAGAAATGGATAGAATGCTTAAATATATAAATATATTACGCTTTCGTACCTTCGACTTTCGATACTTCAAAGTCGATTAAATGTCCGGTACTCAATTGTCGTGGTGCAAAATGTCGTTTCTGTAAATGTCGTATTTTTAAAAAATTAATTATCGATTAGTATTGATTTTATCGATTGATATCGATTAGTATCGATTTTTTGAAAATTAAAAATTTTTAAAAAATTAATTATCGATTAGTATTGATTTTATCGATTGATATCGATTAGTATCGATTTTTTGAAAATTAAAAATTTTTAAAAAATTAATTATCGATTAGTATTGATTTTATCGATTGATATCGATTAGTATCGATTTTTTGAAAATTAAAAATTTTTAAAAAATTAATTATCGATTAGTATTGATTTTATCGATTGATATCGATTAGTATCGATTTTTTGAAAATTAAAAATTTTTAAAAAATTAATTATCGATTAGTATAGAATATTTATTGATATTAATTAATAAAATAAAAAAGATATGCAAAATATAATCTAAAAAGTCTAAAAATCGGTCCTTTAAAAATATCAAGATTTGCCAAATCTCTTCTGTATATCTACCCAATAACTGTATTGTTGAAGCAAACGAGTTCTTTGTTCTTGAATTGGGTCAAATCGACGTTCCGGAACAATAAAATCTTCTATTTGATTTAGAGTCCAAAATTCTGAAAGCAAATAAAAATTATTTTTTCGACAAACTTATTGGGAAAACGTCAGATTTTAGCCTGCCATTGGCAAACAAACCTTGGTTAAGTGGTTATGTTTTGAATTTTGAGAAGGAGTAGGGGAAGGGAACCCGTGGCCAACCACTACACCATGGACGCTCACCTCAGAACCTTCAAATAAACCTTTCTTATAATGAAAAGTAAATAGATTTTTTATTAATTAAATCGCGCATGTAAATATTCTCGTTTTTTGGATACGTAAACGCAACAAAAATCAATCACACAATAAGTAGAAAAAAGGAAAAGCCTTCATAATAAAGAAGGAAAAGCCTTTAAGAAAGGTTTATTTAATTTTCTTATATGAGCGTCCATGGTGTAGTGGTTAGCATTGCTGCCTTCCAAGCAGTAGGCACGGGTTCGATTCCCGTTGGACGCACAAATTTTTTTGAATCTTTAAGATTTGAATCTTTAAGATTGTTTGAATCTTTAAGATAAATTTTTCTAAAAAACACGTAAAAATTTTATACCCCGAAATTGATGGTTAAGTGGTTATGTTTTAGGTTTTGAAGGGAAATGGAGGAAGGTTCGATTCCTTTTGACTCCCAAATTTTTTAAAACACAAAAACAAATTTTAAAAAATTTTAAAAAAATTTTTGAAAAATTCTTAAAAATTTTGGAACCCAAATAATGAAATTTTTAACCCCTAAAAAACAAAAAAAAACAGGAAAAAAATTTTTAAAATACAAAAACACCTTGTTTAATTCCAGCAAGTAAAGCAACACCTTTAGCAGAACAAAATTGAGGTTCCTCAACCCTTTCCAAGGGTAAATTAATTAAAGTACAAATTTGTTGACAAATGAAGTTATTTAAAGAAATACCACCACAGCATCTTTAAATTTTTAAAAATTAAAAAAAATTTAATCTCTAAAAAAACCTTATTCTTTTAATTAATTTAACATCATTTAAAGACAATTGAGTTAACAGGCAAGTCCAAATTTGATAAATTCCAAATATTATTGATTTAAATATTGAACGAGCAATTTGTTTTTGATTTGTAGATGAACGAATTCTGAACAAGAAAAAAATTTTTTTATGGAGAGAATAGTAACATAAATATTGTAAAAATCCTAATAGACGCCCATCCCTAATAGAAGCCCACTCAATGAAGGGTATTGAAAAATATAAGGGCTTCTATTAGGATATTTACGGTATATTAAAAAAAAAGGCTGGAACCAGACCAGGAGCAAAAGAAAGCCATACCCAGCAGAATAACTTCTAATCTTGCAACTAGAATTCCAAGAACCTCACATCAGTTCTGAAAGAGCTTTGGACTGTGACTGTGTGGAACCCGGAACCGGGGAGCAAAAAATTATAATTAGAGTTAGGAAATTTAGGCACTAAAAAGTTAAAAATAGGCGCCTATATAGGCACTAAAAAACTGCCAAAATAGGCAGTAAAAATGCGAAAAAAAGGCAAAATAGGCACGATTTTTTCGAGATTTTTTGATTTAAATTGACAGAATTTTATCAAAAAAGATAAATTTAAGCAATAAACTGTTAAATAAATTAATTTTGACGATCAGAATTACATATAAATTAATTTATATTAATTATTTTTTTTTCAAAAAATAATTTGATAAATTTTTCAAAAGAAAATTTATCCCATAAAATTTTTTGAAAAAAAATTTTTTTGGAAAAATCTTATATTTTACCAGAAAAAAATTTTTTTGAAAAATTTTTTTAAAAAATGCACAAAAATTCGCAAATTTTAGAAAAAATATGCAAAATAGGCTGAAAAAAGGCCAAATAGGGCATTTTTCCAGAAAAAGCTAAAATAGGCAATTTTAGGCAACGATAAAAGTAGTCAGAAAGAAGATTTCAGTAAAATAACACCTGATTTGGACGTTTCAGCATCAAGCCTATTTAGGAAAAAAACAGGCATTTGCCTAAAAATCCTAACTCTAATTATAATCAAAAAATTATAAAAAAAAATAAACCCAAAAAGTGAAGAACAATCATCATTGCCATTTTTCTCCAATCCAAAAGGTATAAAACAAGTAATGTCCTCATCTTCCAAGTCTTCACCTTCCTCATTAAATAGTTCTTCACACAATTTATTTAATTCGGTTGGAGCAAGTGAAGGAATTAAATTAATTAAATTACCCCATTTAAGAGAAGAAATTAAGTGATTAAATTTGCTCTTAAAATTAAGAAAAAAATTAATTTCAAATTTTAAAAAAAAGGAAACCTCTAATAAATATGTAGTAGATTGTTCATCCAATTTCCATCCTATTAAGGGATATACTCCACCTAAAAATTAAAAGAAAATTTTAAAAAATTAGGGGTGTTGAAGGAAGTTTTGGCCCAAAACTGAAGGACATAGACCCTATTTTTGGCTATATCTTTTTTCAGAAAAGTCGGAACTTGGAACTCCCGTTATAAAAAATGTGTAGCGGATCATGGGCTTTCGAATGATATATAAATTGATAAGAAAGATAAGGAAAGAAAAAGGTTATGAATTTAGAAAGACGATGAAAACACTTTTTGAAGGGATTTTTGACTATATCTTTTTTCAAAATGGTAGGAAGTTATAACTTTTAGAGAGAAAGATGTTCAGCAGATAAAAGGCTTTCGAATGATATGTGAATTGATAAGAAAAATAAAGAAACAGCAAAGATATGAATTTAGAAAGACGATGAAAACACTTTTTGAAGGGATTTTTGGCTATATCTTTTTTCAAAAAAGTCGGAACTTGGAACTCCCGTTAAAAAAATGATCTGCTGATCAAGGGCTTTCGAATGATATATAAATTGATAAGAATGATAAAGGAGGAACAAAGTTATGAATTTAGAAAGACAATGAAAAAACTTTTTTCTACTAGATTTTTGGCTATATCTTTTTTCAAAATAGTCGGAACTTGAAACTCCCAACGGAGAAAATGTTCAGCAGATCAAGGGCTTTCGAATGATATATAAATTGATAACAGAGATAAAGGAAGAACAGAGATATAAATTTAGAAAGACGATGAAAAACTTTTTTCTACTCGATTTTTAGCTATATCTTTTCTCATAAAAGTCGTAACTTAAAATTCCCGCAAGAAAAAATGTTCAGCTGATCAAGGGCTTTCGACTGATATATAAATTGATAAGAGAGATAAAGAAAAGACAAAGTTATGAATTTAGAAAAATAATGGAAAAAATTTTTTCTAAGCGATTTTTGGCTATATCTTTTCTCATAAAAGTCGTAACTTAACACTCCCGTTATAAAAAATGTTCAGCAGATCGAGGGCTTTCGAATGATATATAAATTGATAAGAAAAATAAAGAGATAACAAAGTTATGAATTTAGAAAAACCACAAAAAAACAAAAAAATTTTAGACAAAATCATTGTGGCTTATTGGTATCGTTCTAGATTCTGTGGGGAAGTGATGAGGGTTCGATAACATCTAGTGCCCAGAATTTTTTAATTAATTCAAAAAAGGTTTTCCATCGTCCAAAAAATTTTTCAAATGTTTTTCAACATTTTAATTTATTTTTAAAATAAAAAAATACCACACATGCTGGCATGCACTTCACCTCCAGACACAAAATCCAGTATAGCTCCAGTTCCCAACGATAAATTGACGTCTCCTTTTTGAATACATCCTGAACCAAATGCTGCAGATTGTGCATCTCCTAACTTAAAAAAATTTTTTAAAGAAAGAATAAGAACGTTTTGCTAGTCCAACCTCATAAATACTCTCAAAAATGAAGGGAAGTTTCACTGTCACCGTTGGAGTATCGAGGCCATATTTTGTGCCATAACTTTTTGGATACTTGACCAATTTAAATACTTTATATATCAATCGAAAGCTCTAAATGTGAGGATTATTTTATCTAACAGGATCAATTTGATCAGATCATTCTACAAAAAGTTATGTCTTAATAAGTGCGCGCAAACGTGATTTTTGACATTTATTCGGCTCTAACTTTAGGTAGAATGATCTGATCAGATCAACCTGTTAGACAAAATAATCCTTGGATCAAGGGCTTTCGATTGATATAAGAATTATTTAAATCAGTTAAATATCAAAAAAGATATGACCCAAAATATGACCTCAACACTGAAACGGGGACAATGATACGAACTTTTTGCCCCCTCGTTTTAACTAAGGTTTAGCTAAGCTCGACTCTATTTCTAAAAAATAAAAAAAGATTTAAAAAACCTTACACAAGCAGATATTTCAATTTCTCTTCCAAACAATTCAGCATCCGTAGTTAACGATAAAAGTGAAGTTGGTGAAATTGAAGGCAATAAAATTGAATTAAATGGAAATCCAATTAATTGAAGTATTTGGACACCCCAAGAATTCTTTAAAAAAATTTTAGAAAAAAATTTTTTCAAAAAAATTAAAAAAAAAAACCGTAAAGGGATCGAATAATCCAGTAGAAGAAATTGATGAAGGCTCTGTTATAAACAAATCACTATTTGTTGTTAATTTTTGTAAAATCCAACAATCCAAAGTTGTTAAAATTAAATTATTAGTTGACAATAAATGTTGCATTTTTGAGTCCTAGAAAAAATATATATGTATTTTTTAAATTAAAAATTGTCGACAAAATATTGTTTTGACATTATACATAAATTAAGGAAAGCCTGTATTTTTTAATGTTCGAGGACCTTAAGTGTAGAGCTGAAGTGGGTCGGAACAGTCAGAGGTGTCAGAAATAGGAAGAGACGAAAATCGGAACTGGCCCAAAAGTCGGAACTCGGGAATCAAAATTTTTTTCGGAAATCGGAATTCCGACCCACCTCTGGTGTAGAGGTTGAAGTGTCCCTGGTATGTTTATTCTAGCAATTTCTCAAAAGGATGGTTCCAGAAGCTTTGGACTTATGTTAGGAGAGACTTTCGAAATTCACGAAATGTTTTGGAAAGAAAAAAGGAATACCAGGGAAGGGTTACTCGGAATATCCAGACTATTTTTAACCCGAAACCCGATGCGAAGAAAAATTTTGAAATCCAATTTGAACCCCGAAGACCCGACTTTTTACTCAACCCGTACCATCCATGATAGAAACACATCAAAAATTTTTCAAAAAAACTAAAAAAAACCTCTTGAAGAATAACCAAAAACCTTGGAGCAATCATTACATCAAGTAAATTAAACATTCTAGCAGCTTTAAAACGTTCTGAATGAGTAAAAGAACTCGCAATTAGACCAAATAAATTTAAAAACTTTAAAAAATTTAAAATTTAACTCAATTTTATTTGAAAAAAAACCTTTCTTCTATAAGAATTATTCCATTTTTCACAATAGTGTTGGGCACGTTTATCTTTCCAAGTAATTATTTTATGGCAAGGTTCTAATGTTTTTCTAAAAAATTAAATTTTTATTTAGTTGAAGGAAAGTGTTTTGACTCTAAATTTTTGGAAATAAAATCTTTATTTAAAGTTTAGAGGGTCTAGGCTAGAGGAAAGATTAGGGAAGGATCGGATTGGAGGAAACAAAAAATCCCAAACTAGAGCCCCTAATTTAGACCTGAATTTTGAACCTTTGGTACTACGTACCGTCCGATCTCTATCCAAAACCCTAACTATTCTTGATTAGAAACACAAAGTCTGAAAATCTAATCTGAAAACCCGTCCCAGCCCTAGACGACAAGCAAGACCGAGATATCGAACAAAAATCTCGGTTATCGAATGGTGAGCTAGGAGTAGAGACCTGACGTGACCATAAGTGAAAATTCTTTAGTTTGAACGTCAACTATCGAAAACTCCAATTCTCAGTTAGAGAAAACAAAACAGTTGCGGTCCAGCCCCAAACTAAAAATAAAAAATCCAAGTTTATTGGCGGACCACAAACTATCTAGCCCCTCCATTACTAGAGATTTCGAATATGTAAAATAGTAATAGAAAAATAAAATTTAAAAAATAAAAACCTATTCAAAGTCACAAAAGAATTTCGATGACAACTTAATCCAATAGACAAAATATTTAAATCCAATTTGTCTGCTTCAGCTATTAAACTTTCAATCATTCCAAATATTTGTTTCCATAATTGATCCGGTTCAATTTCAACAAGTTGGTCATCTTTTGAAGTAATTAAAACAAGCTAAAAAAAGATTTTTTTTCAAGATAAAACTAAAAATTAAATTTAAAAATTTTTCTAAAATAATTCTAAAAGATTCAAAAATATTTGTGCGTCCAACGGGAATCGAACCCGTGCCTACTGCTTGGAAGGCAGCAATGCTAACCACTACACCATGGACGCTCACATCAGAAACTTTAAATAAACCTTTCTTATAATTAAAAAAAATAGATTTTATATTTAATAAAATCGCGCACGTAAAAATATTCTCGTTTTTTGGATACGTAAACGCAATAAAAATCAATTGAAAGAAGGAAAAGCCTTCATAATTATATTAATAAAGATGTTAATGTGAGCGTTCATGGTTTTTTATCTAAACTTTTTCAGGTTTTTTTTGGTTAAGTGGATCCGTTGCATATTTTAAAGGCGAAAAAGAGCAAGGTTCGAACCCTCCCACCCATTGTTTTTTAAAAAATTCTTCCCTAATAAAAATTAACCAAATAAAACCTCTTCAGTTCTGCTACACACCAATTTACATTTATCACTTGAGAAAATACAAATTTTTAAATTTGTTGTGCCAACATCAATAGCTAAAATTGCATTTATTTTTGTTGCTGGTGTTGTTGAAGTCATAGAGAAACATTTAAAAAATTAAATTTAAAAAATTAAAGTTTTTAAAAAAAATTTTAAAAAAATTTTTAAACGTAAAAATAAATACGTTTCTAATTAAAAAAATTTTTTCATTGAGATCTTTTACCGAAAAATTATTTTTTAAATAAAATAAATAGATGGCAAAAACTAAATTGGCAAAAAACAAAGGGGAGAAAGAAATAAAATAAACAAAAAAATAATCAAAAAAAGAAGAAAAATAAATTTACAATTTAATTGATGAAAAAAGGAGTTATTTTTTGAGCATATTAATGGATATTTAATTGAACAACAAAAAAAAATTTTTTGTCCGCAAATATTTTTTTATAGTTGTTCAAATTAAAACCCATTCATTATTATATTGTCGGGGTCAGTAACATTTAAAAAAACTAATTACAACAAAAGCAAGGTTATGGTGCTAATAAAATTTTCTTTTTGGAAATTTTTGCGGACAAACACTTTTTGAAAAATAATAAAATTTTTAAATTCGAATCCGACATCGGGCGGAGCCTAGGACTTTGACTCAGACTCCCCTTAAGATTTTGGAATGTACAGAAATGGAGCCGGAAAAAACACCAAAATCCAGCACTCCCTGTTTACAATCTAACCGAAAGAAACTTTTTTTTAAATCCGCAAAAAATTGTCCGCAAAAATATAAAAATTTTATCAGGCGCCCAAAATTCTAATGGAAAAAAATCTTTGGGGTTTTAAACGTTTTTTAAACAAAAAAACATTAGATTTACCATTATTTACGACAATAAATATACCATAAATCCATTCCAAATTTTTTTTTTGCTTTTTACTTCTTTTTGCGTGCCGACAAGAGTTCATCATTTTGCGGAATTTCTAATCTTTAATTTTAAAAATTAAAAAAGAACTTTTCTTTAAATTTTTGAAAAAATATGAGAAATCCGCAAAAATTTTCAAAAATCCGCAAATCTTTTTGGTTAAGTGGTTTCGTTCGCTAATTTAA